CGACGACGCGCGCGTGCGCACTTCGTCTCACGTGTTGCAATTGGTTCCTGCAAACGGATGATAATTGTTAATCGAGCGCGCGCGCATTATACTTTGCAAAGGATGACCGGGGGGTGCCGATAGCGGTTGGGCCGGGGTGGTCTGAATTAAATGTTAGGATGGACGATGGGGCAGAATCCTATGCAAATTGCGGCGCGAAAAATGGGGTCGATAATCCAGATGGGGGGGGGGCCTACTTTCTTGGTAGCAAGGACAATTGACTACCCTGAACCGCGCTTGGCTACTTCCCTCCACAGCTCGTGCAAACATCCCATCCATCCACCCGCAACATGGTTTGGAAAACCCACGCGGCGGGGATTGCGATGAGTGCTCGGCATTGGCTGGAGCATCTCTGCAGCCGCGCCAGCCCGCGCATGCGCGCGCGCAGCAGCCAGCCAGCTCGGCGTGACCGACGCGGCCGCGGCGGCGCTGACCGCCGAGCACATCCCAGCGGGCACTTCGGTGCGAGTCGGCGACTTGGGCGGGCCCAGTACCATGGCAACGTCAACAACGGTAGACCCGATGATGATAGCAAGGATGCTGGCGACGTTGCTGACAGCACCAAACCAAGCAGGCGCGCGATGCGGCCAGCTAGTTTGGCGCGACCGACGCGGCCGCGGTGGCGCTGACCGCTGGGCGCATCCCAGCGGGCACTTCAGTGCGAGTCGGCGACTTGGGCGGAGGCGGTATCATAACAACGTCGACATCGGTAGACGCGACGATGATAGTAGCGATGCTGGTGACGATTTCGACAAACACGACGGCGCGGCAAGCGCGGGCGCCGATGCTGATCACGCCGACGACGATGACGGCGCCCCCGCGTCGGTGATGAAGGTTTTGGAAAGAGTTCGACACGCTCGCGCGGCCGACGCGCGAGAAGCCCGCATGGTATCATTTGACACGGATCGCGCCCCCTGGCACGCGCGCAAGGGCGCGCGAATGATGCCGGCATGCGGCGCCAGAGGTCCGTTTGGCAGAGTTCCATGAACATGTTGAAAAACCGATGGCTGTCTCCAGAATTCGCAAGAGCGCGAGTGCACGTTTTGTTGAAAACTGGCCTTGCGAAAGTATGTATAATGATACGTGCGTTGGACACTCGGTTGTGAAACCTCTAGTAATCCTAAGGTTTGTCATGGACGTTGGCATGCGCGCGCGACGACGCGCGCGCGTGCACTTCGCCCCATGTGTTGCAAAGCATTCTCGCGACGGCGCGCGCACACAGGGCGTGCGAACAATTTCAAAAATGCGCGCGCGACGCCCGCTTGGTAGCATTGTCTGAAAATGTTGAAAGACATGGTTTTCATCAGCACTCGCAAGAGCCCGCGCGCAAGCTTTTTTGTGAAAAATCGATGATGCGAAACCATGTTGTCATAAGTGTTTTTGACAATCGATTCTGAAAGCATTACAAACCCCCAAAAAATGAAGGATTCCGGCATGCGCGCTCGACGACGCGCGCATGCCCCCCCAACACGCGCGCAAGGGCGCGCGAATGATCTCGGCATGCGGCGCCAGAGGCCCGGTTTGGCAGATTCCCATGGCAACAAACAACTAAGTTTCTCCCGAATTCGCAAGAGCGCGAGCGCAGCACGCTTTTTTTTGAAAAATGATACTACAAACGATGTTTTATTTGTTTTGGGGACACTCGGTTTTGAAATCGCTACGAAACCGAAGGTTTTTGACGGATTTCGGCACGCGCGCGCCGACGCGCGCGCGTGCACTTCGTCTCATTTGTTGCAGAGGATTCTCGCGACGGCACGCGCGCAAGGGCGCTCGAACAGTTTCGACATGCGCGCGAGGCCCGTTTGGTAGCATGTTCTGAACATGTTGGGAAACCTACGGTTTTCTTAAAGATTCGCAATAGCGCGCGCAAGTTTTTTTTGAAAATGCGTGTTGCGAAACCCTGTGTTTCTATATTGGTTGGACACTCGATTTTGAAACCCTTCCGGAACCGAATTTGTGTTGAAGGATTTTTGCATGCGCGCGCGACGACGATCGCGTGCGCATTTCGTCACGTGTTTTTCAAGGGGGTCTTGGAATCTTGCGATGTTTGGAGAGAGAGAGAAAAAAAAAAAAAAAAAAAAAAAAAAAAAAAAAAAAAAAAAAAAAAAAAAAAAAAAAAAAAAAAAAAAAAAAAAAAAAAAAAAAAAAAAAACGCGTAACATTTCTTATGTTGCGCAGCGTGGCGGGGGCGGCCAGACCGACCCCCTCTGGGATGGTGTACATTCATATATTCAGGATGGACGATGGAGCAGATTCATATGCAAATTGCAATACGGAAAGGGGAGGTGATAGTCCTGGGGGGGATCGAATTTAATTCATGTTGAAAAGAAAATCTACGAGACGGCGACGGCGGCGACGGGCGGCACCGCCCGCACAAGCCGCCTTTCGCCCCGAGCGGCGGCGACGGCGACGGCGACGGCGACGGCGGCGGCGAGCAACCGCCCGCAAAAGCCGCCACGGCGACGGCGGCGACGGGCGGCACCACCCGCAAAAGCCGCCACTCACCCCGAGATGCTTAAGCCAAGTACGAACCCCTACTTGGCCCCAACGAAAGTTTCCTTGGAAACTCGCAAGAGGAATAATATGTATGTAAGCCCGTCGGCAAGATGAAAAGTCGCGCGCGCGAGCTCAGCGTTCGCACGCACGCGATCCCAAGACGTCCCATGGCCACAGCATGCTTCCAGGAATGCCTCAGGCCACGGACAATAACGCCCAGTGGACCCAGGATGATGCCACCCCAACGCGATCCCGCCATGGATTCTGGACCGTCTCAGGCCGACTCGCAGATGACGAAACACATGAGCAACGCGTGACGCCGAGATGGCCCGATGGCAACAAGATGGATCCAAGCGCACCCAGGGTGGCCTCATAATGACCACGCGATGGTTGCGTGATCCAAACATGACCGGGATATGATCTCAAGATGACCTCCAGACGACCCCAACACGGCAATAATACTGCAACTTATGAGCCCCATCTTACTTCGAGCCGATCCCAGCATGGTGGGATCCGTGAACGGCCCGGGATTTTGGTCTACCCCATTTTTCATGGGTGGGATTTTGATCGCCCTGAACTAAACTTATAATATGAAAGCGGAATAAGCCAGGCGGGATCCCGCCCGGCCCACGGAGGAAGACAACATTGCTAGGCTTCTACGGGGGTAGGGGGTTCGGCAGGGGCGTCGTTTACTTCCGCTGACACTGGCAAGCCTTCCGGCGGCCTTCCCCCGTCTTCCGCCTCGTTTTACTTCCGTCGACTTCCGCCGGCCAAGGTCGTGATGAAAATTCCAGGAACTTTCATTGGGCCGATGTAAGTGCAAGCACTGTTTGGGGAATATACACGTATACGAATCTGACCGCCGCCGTATTAATACAGTGTTGCGAATGGGCCCGTTCGTTGTGAGGCCGTTTGGCGGAGCCTACTAGGCTGTTTGGAGCCCTCTTGGGCAACCTCGAGCCTATATGAGCCGTTTGGGGGAGCTGTCTTGGGGCGGCCTGGAGGCCAGATTGGGCCATGCTGGGGCGCTCGTCGGAAGTTCGGGGGCGAACTCAAGGGCCTCTGGGGCCGTCGTGGAGGCTTTGAAAACGGAGACGCGAGAAGCTGTTTCGATTGCCTCGTTCTCATAGTCGTCGTCGTCGTCGTCGTCGTCGTCGTCGTCGTCGTCGTCGTCGTCGTCGTCGTCGTCGTCGTCGTCGTCGTCGTCGTCGTCGTCGTCGTCGTCGTCGTCGTCGTCGTCGTCGTCGTCGTCGTCGTCGTCGTCGTCGTCGTCGTCGTCGTCGTCGTCGTCGTCGTCGTCGTCGTCGTCGTCGTCGTCGTCGTCGTCGTCGTCGTCGTCACCGCTACCGCTCCCCCCTATTCCCTGGGCCTCCTCCTTAAGCGCGCCAGCCACGGCAAAACAGCCAGAGCGAAATTGAGTAACGCTGAAGCCCCTTCCCTAAGATCTCCATGGGTCCCGGGGGGGATCCCGGGGAGTGGTCCCGGATCAGAATACCATTCCCCCTGGGGGGTCCCGAGGCCCAACAGGCCCCCCAGAGGGCCCCATGAGGCCCCCAAGCGTTCCCAAGGAACAGCCAGAAAGCCCTAGGAGGCTTTCAAAGGGCTTCCAAGACACCCCCAAAACTTCCCCCCATAGGCCCTCAAGAGCGCTCCAGAGAGACTTCATGAAGCATCCTGGCTCTCCTCCTTAAGCGCGCCAGCCAAGACAAAACAGCCAAAGCGAAATTGAGCAACCTCGTAATTGAGTCGAAAGGAAGCCCCTTCCCTAGGATCCCTTCCCCGCCAGGGGGTGTAGGGGTCCAGAGAGGGGTAGGGCTGGGAGCATCCCAGGGGATCCTGTGTCAGAATACCACCCTCCCAAGGGGGTCCTGGGAGGCCTCCACGAGGCTCCCAGGCACCCCGAAGGAACCGCCAGAAGCCCCAGGAGGCTCACAAAAGGCTTCCAAGACAACCCGAAACTTCGTGGGTCTTTTGGGACACCTCTTGGGGACCTCGTGTAGCCGCTTTGGCACTCTTGGGAGCGCCTGATCCCGAACTTCCCGAATGCCTCTTCCATCGAGGGGGTCGTCATCCAGGGTCGGCGGCACCAGCCATAAGGCCTTAACAATCGTTTATGTGTACCTCTTTGGGGCCTCTTGAGCGTCCTCTGCGGTCCCTCTTGGGCCGTCGAGGGAGCGTGGTGCACCGGCGTGCGACCGTCTTGGGCCGTCCTGGCCGTCTTGACACCTTGTTGGGCCCTCTTGGGCCGTCTTGGGCCCTCCCAGGGCGCCGCTGAACCAGCCTCTCCCCAGTCGCACTTTAAGTTGTGGCGGATCATCTTTCTCTGAACAAGAAAACCAATCTTGCTAGTACACCCTTTTCTTGTGGTGGCGAACTCGACTAGCCCTGAAGAATCCCCGAGGGCCTCCGAAGGCGCATCCGAAAAAACCCGAACGCTCCCCCTGACTGCGGCTCCCCCTGGGCACCACTATCCGGTCCGCGTGACCGCCCTCGTCGGTGTCCACCGTGGCGGGCACGTCTACTGGGCTTTTCTCGGTCTTCTGCTTCAGCAGGTTGCTCTTGATCCGCAGGGGACCGGCCACCTGGCGGCGGGGGAGAAGCAGGCCCACGATCGAGGAGGAGGAAGAGGAGGAACCTTCTCGTTCCGCTCGCCGGCCCCCCCCCCCACGGGGGATCACACCAGACTGTGGGGCGCGGGGGGGCGCGTTGGCAGCGTCTGGAGGACTCTCAGGCCGTCAGGTGCCAGGTGTCAGGAGGAGGAGGAGGAGCAGGAGGAGGAGGACCAGTGTAAACCCAAGAGACATAAATGATGTTGGAATAAACCATCCCTCCAAGCTCCCCCTTCATAGGCCCATACAGCGGTTCATTTCCATTGAGGGAACTGCCTCGTGGGAAGGCATCCGTGACCCTGAAGCATGCCAAAACATTGGTCTCGGGATTCCAACCCCACGGATCAACCTGACTGCTGCGTTTTGACGATCCTGAATCGCGCCAGAACACCATTCTTGGTACTTCAGCACCGCGAACGAACGTAACTGTGGCACCCTCATAATCTCGAATCCTTCCGATAATCCACTTCTGCTACTTTGATCATGGGACTCCGTGGAACTCCTGCAAATGTTTAGAACGAATGTGCGCGGCACTACAGCGGGAGCCACATTCTGAAAACCACCCGCCCTCAATCCTCGAAACTCTTGCAACATTAAATATAATGTATCACGAAAAAAACCTTTTATATAAATACATGACGTATAATAATACAACGCAACGTGGTGAAATACATAATACTACAAGGTGCTACAATGCAATATGGTTCAATATCCTGTAATATACTATGCGAACATATGATAAAAATATCAAATGACATAATATAACATGATAAATGCATGATGATATGAACCCATTGAAATACTATATACTACCAGACAAAGACATAAAGCTACAGAAACTATAACATAAAAAACCGGGGGGTGGGGGCAAAAACAAAAAAAAACATGAAACACAGTACTTTACTATACGAAAACAAAAAATCCAACATGATTTAACATAGCATAACATCAGATTGTCAAATTACGATTGCCCTATAGGACTCCCAGCTCAAACCCTACTACTTGGTCCGTCGCCCCCCCCACCCACCCTAATTCCTATGCCCCACCCCTAATTCCTATGGCTATGCCTACGCCTATGCCTATGCCTCCCCCCTGACTCCTATGCCTACGCCTATGCCTATGCCTATGACTACGCACCACCTCTGAGCGCTTCTATGCCTATTCCCGATGTTACCCCCAGCTATTTCCAATGGCGAGTCATATGGATTCCTATGGATTCCTATGAATCGCTTGCCCTTGCTTGCTTTCCCTGCACTTGCTTGCTTGCTCTTGCGTGCTTGCTCTCGCTTGCTTGCTCTTGCTTGCCCTTGCTTGCTTGCACTTGATCGGTATCAGCCGGTCTTGACTCCAAATAGATAAAAGGACAAGAGGAGGACGAGATGAGGATGGGAGGAGGACGAAAGGAGGACGGGAGGAGCACAATCAAGCAAGCGCAAGCAAGAAAGCGGAAGCAAGCAAGCGCAAGCGAACAATAACAGTCAATCAAAAGCCAACGATCAAGTGCAAGCAGGCAAGGGCAATCAAGAGCAAGCAAGCGAGAGCAAGCACGCAAGAGCAAGCAAGCAAGAGCAATGAAAGCAAGAGTAAGCAAGCAAGCACGCAAGAGCAAGGACTCGCCACTGGAAATAGCTGGGGGTGCCATTGAAAATAAGATGGGGTGCCATTGGAAAAACACGGGGGGGGCTATTGGAAATAAGGGGGGGCATTGGAAAAAAGGGGGGCATTGGAAAAAGGGGGCGTGGTTTAAAGACCAATTACTTATGAAGAGCCAGGACTCTTAATGGGCAAGCCTATTTGGAAAAGAACATACTATACTTTGGCATCATAGAATTAGAATATAACATGAGGTGATATGATTTGGCATGATATGCTATGGCTCATAGATTATGAAATGGCACAAGAAAATATGATGTAATATTTTATGTTATAATATAATATAACCTAAGTCAGTATAATGAAATAAAATATGATACGATGTGATGCGACATCATATAATGCGCTATGATGTAATACGGTACACTATAATGCAATACAATATAATACAGTTTCATGCAGTACAATACAGTAGACGATGATATGATATGATATGATATGATATGATGACTATGATATCACAAATATGATACAACAGAATGTAATGTTATATAAAATACTACAATACAATATAATACAGTATACTAAAGTATATCACAATACCCTATTCTGGTATATAATACGACGTGGTACGATAAAAAGAAAACTACATTACAATAACTAGAATATACAATATTATGATACAGTATAAAATACTCTGATATAATACACTATAGCTTGCTAAACGTGAATATAATATGAAACCATATATCAAGGTATGATATAGTGTGGTAAGATATGATACCTTATACTATAACATGACCGTAAAATAAAATAGAATGTAGTAATAAATATAATGTAGTACGGTACAATGCACTATCACATAACATAAAAACATGTAACAGCATACACATTGGCGAAAGACCCAGACATATGAAAATGTGGGAAACGCGTTATGGGTGCCGCTGCCGGGGGGCCACGCAACGCGTGATGGAGCGTGCGGTAATGGGCGGGGGGGACGCATGCGAGTGGAGCCCACTGGGGCCTTCGGTGGAGCTCCCTATGCGAGGTGGACCTCCCTATGGGATCACGAAACGCTGTACTTGGTGTGGCAGGCGCATGCGGGCACCCCTACTGGGGCCTTCGGTGGAGCTCCCTACGGAGCCACGACACGCTGTAGTGGGTGGGGGAACGCATGCGGGCACCCCCGCTGGGGCCGTCGGTGGAGCTCCCTATGGGGCCACAAAACGCTGTATTGGGTGGGGGACCGCATGCGGGCATCCCCACTGGGGCCGTCGGTGGAGCTCCCAATGGGGCCACGAAACTCTGCATTCGGTGGGGGGGGCGCATGCGGGCACCCCCCCCTGGGACCGTTGGTGGAGCTTCCTACGGGGCCCCGAAACGCTGTACTTGGTGTGGCGGACGCATGCGGGCACCCCACGGGCCACGAAACGCTGCACTTGGTGTGACGGGCGCATGCGGGCACCCCCACTGGGGCCTTCGGTGGAGCTCCCTATGGGGCCACGAAATGCTGTACTGGGTGGGGGGAACGCATGCGGGCACCTCCACTGGGGCCGTCGGTGGAGCTCCCTATGGGGCCACGAAGCGCTGTACTGGTGGGGGGCACGCCCGCGTTCCCTATGTGGCCACGAAACGCTGTAGTGGGTGGGGGGGACGCATGCGGGCACCCCCACTGGGGCCTTCGGTAGAGCTCCCTATGGGGCCACGAGACGCTGTACTGCGTGAGGGAAACGCAAGGAAGAGGGAGCAGGGGGAGGAGGGGGAGGAGGGGGAGGAGGAGGGGGAGGAGGAGGAGGGAGGAGAGAAGAGGGATGCGGGGACCGTCTCTTCAGAACGAGGACCCAACACCACAGGATAGTTGTGAAAAAAAACGAATGTGCGCGGCACTAAGGCGAGAACCACATTTGAAAACGGGTGCCCCTCAATCCGTGAAACTTCTGCAAATGAATAAAACGAATGCGCGCGGCGCTAAGGCGAGAGCCACGTTTTGAAAACCACCCTCCCTCAATCCGTGAAACTCTTGCAAATGCTTAACACGAATGTGCGTGGCGCTAAGGCGAGAGCCACATGTTGAAAACCACTGGCCCTCCATATGTGCAACTGTCGTCAACTTTTAAGTTTCGGGGTCATAAGTAGTGAGGAAGTCTCAGGCGAAACACCAGGCCCGCCGTAAAAACTGGCCTCGGGGTGCGACCGGGAGAAACTATTTACAGGAGGAGGAGGAGGAAGGAGGAGGAAGAGGAGGACCCAGGGCTGATATCTCTGACCAGCGCTAGTCCTCTTCGGGCCTCTTGGGGGCCTCCCTGGAGGCCTCCGGGCGCCCCTGTGAGGCCTGGAGGAGACCCCCCCAGGGCACCTCCGAAGGCCCTGCACAGGCCCCTCGAAGAGCCCCTTGGGCGGGAGCACGACCGGGAGCGGGCCGTGGAGAAGAGCAGCGCGGCGGCGGGAGCGCAGCGGCAGCACGAGCAGCGGCAGCAGCGGCGGCAGGAGCAGCAGGCAGGAGCAGCAGGCAGGAGCAGCAGGCAGGAGCACCAGGAGCCGTTCGGATCAGGATCGGCAACGGCAGGAGCAAGAGCGGGAGCAGCAGCAGCACGGTGAGCAGCAGCACGGGCAGGGGCAGCACGGAAGGCGCAGGAGCAGGCCCTGGTGCGGCAAGAGGAGGACCCCCCTCTCCGTACTCCTCCCCCTCGTTCCCCTCCCCCTCGTGACAGCGGTGAGAGAATGACGGGATGGGCCTCCATCTGCTCCGGGATCCAACCGTCACCAGACTGCACGCGGAACGACAGGGAGTCGACGTCGTCCAGGTATTTCTCCAGGTTCAGCGCCTCGAAGAGCAGATTGCGGGGATGAGCGGGGAAAGAAGAGGAGGAAGGAAGGAAGGCAGAGACGACTACCATCGCGGGGAGGAGGGGGAGAGAATTCGCAGAGCATTCCTACGGGCCAGAGGTGCAGAGATCTCTGGCAACTGCGCACAGCATTCCTACGTCGCGCGCGCGGAGCGGCCCCCGGGAGGTCCGCGGACGAAGAATACCCCGGGAGGTCCCAGGCCGGGTCGGGTCAGAAACAGCTTTTCTCCCGGGCGCCGCCCTCGAAGCCCTCCAGAGGGCCCCAAGAAGGGCCAAGAGGCCCCCAAGATAGGACAAGAGGGTTCCGAGATGCCACAATATCGCTCCAAGATGCCCAAGATTGCCCCCAGACGCCCCAGGAGGCCTCCAAAGGCACTCCCAAGAGGGCCACAAGAGGTAAAATGCAGTGGTCTTCCCTGGGCTTTGGACAAATTTGGCCGCTCCCCCCTTTTCGGCTTCCCGACGCCTCAAGACGGCCCAAAAAGTCCCCAAGATCACCCCAAGAGGGTCCAAGAGAACCCGAAGAGAGCCCCAAGACGGTCCAAGAGGGTTCCAGGACCGCCCAAGACGACTCGAAGACGGCCCAAGAAGGCGCCAAGAACGCCCCAAGAGAGGCCCCAGTTGGGGAACACGAAACAACATTCCGAGTCCTCGGCCAGAAGGAGCCCGCACACGGTCCCCAGAGGTCCCTAAGAGGCCCCCAGAAGCCCCCAACAGGCGATCAGGAGGCCGCTAAGAGGCCCCAAAGAGCCCCAAAAAGGCTCCATGTTAAGACGTCCCCGAAGGCCTCGGAGAACTCCCAAGAGCTCCCCGCGCACTGCCCTCCAGGAGCTCACGACAGCACTCCGAGGAAACCGGGCAGATGAGATGGGATCCAAAAGGGTAAGAAAGAAAAGACAATGAGGAGGAAAACGCACCGCGAGCCTCACGAGCACACAGTCAGGAATGGCACGCTTGCTTAAACCTGTCTCGCAACCCAGTGCTGAACTACCCCACACACACACACACACACACACACAACTACACACCAGGGAACACAATCCGGGAGAAGATGATAGAAGGGGAAATAACCACCAAAGCTGTTCCTGCATCCTGCGATTGGAATGACAACCGGCATCAGGACAATATGAGAGCTGTTGTTCCCATTCAAAGCCCGCCACCCTCCGACACGACGGTTCCTTCATCGCATCAAATCTCTCATCCTTCCACTCGAACGGCCCCCAAGCGAGCTTCCGCGGGCAAGAAGCCCCCACGAAACACCAGAAGCCCCACAGGGCGGCAAGCAACCAGAAACCACGTAAGAAACCAACGAACCTCCGACATCTTCTCCACAATGTCCAAGCGACCGCCCCGCGGCTGCTCCACGAGAGCTGCTTCAACCCCAGACATGCCAAAAACAATGTCTAACAGACACACACGCCGACCCTGCAGCTCCGCACTGCCAACGACCACTCGGCCAGCCAACACTGCCAACGGCCACTCGGCGGGCGGAATGAGCGAAACGATTAAAGAAAAAGAGGGAGAGGAAGTGGGAGATGGAAAAGGGGGAGGGACAGGGACAGGGGTAGGGGCAGGGACAGGGCAAGGAAAAGGAGAGGGAGAGGGAGAGGGAGAGGGAGCCCGGGGAGGGGGGAGGACAAAAGCAGGGGGAGGGAGACGGGGAAGGGGAAAGGGAAAGAAGAGGGGAAGGAGGGGCCAGGGGGGACGAGGAGAAACTTATGCACATGGGAGGGATGAGGCACGAAAGGGGACGCAATAATGAGCAGGAGACGCAGGAGCAAGAGACGCAATGAATGTCGTCGGTCAAGGATGGGGAGGTAGGGGAGGCGGAGAAGCAGAAGAACACGAAAGCGGGGGGCGGAAGAGCACGACCAGGGAGAAGCTGATAGAACAAGAAAGGAAGAGGAGGAGGAGGCACAATTGTCTCCATGCGAACCTTCAGCGCCTTCGAGGCGACACTCCTGGCCTTGGAGCTTGACCACAATGCCACCACGCCCGAAACAGACGATCCTGTCCAGTCCCTCCCCCCACTCCTCTTCCTCCATGTCCTTCTGTTCCTCCTGTTCCTCTGGTCCTCCTCCTCCTCCTCCGTCTCCTCCTCCTCCTCCTCCTCCTCCTCCTCCTCCTGCTCCGCCTCCTCCCCCTCCACCTCCTTCTCCTCCTTCCCCTCCGCCTTCTCCTCCGCCTTCTCCTCCCCCTCCTGCTCCTCCTGCTCCTCCTGCTCCTCCTGGACCTCCTCCTCCTCCTCCTGCTCGTCCTCCTCCTCCTTTTCCACCTCCTCCTCCTCCTCCTCCACCTCCTCGTCCTCCTCCTCCTCCCCTCCTCCTCCTCCTCCTCCTCCTCCTCCTCCGCAGCGATTCCGCACTGTACATCTGCAACGATTATCTCCTGCTCTCGTTCCGTCCTCCTCCTCCTCCTCCTCCTCATCCTCCTCCTCATCCCACTCCTCCTGCTCCTCATCCTCCTCATCCTCCTCCTCATTCTCCCCCTCACCCCCACCCACTCCCGTCCTCCTCACACTCCATAAAATCCTCGTCGAAACCTCCATGAACCACACCAGGACAGCTGAAAACCAGCGACAACTGCCGAAAGTCTGGTAACCAGTCGATTAGTCCTCGAACACCTACCCCCCCCCCTGTCCTCATCCACCTCCTCCGTCACCTCCTCATCCTCACCCTCAGCTTCGCCTCCGTCTCTTTCTCTTCCTGGTCCTTTATCAATCTGCCCCCTCAAAGTCGACCCTCCGACCACCCGTGGGGCGAACTCTGCCAAGAAATTCGAGGCAGATCCAGCCGTGGCAATGTGGGCCCTGTGGACAGCACAGCAAGGTCGTAAGCGAGTAAACCTCCTCCTCGTCATCCTCCTCCTCCTCGTCGTAAAGGTCATCACAATCATCATCAGCATCATCGATACCATCATCCTAGTCGTCGTCATCACTACCAGCATCATCATCATAATCATCATCATCATCATCATCATCATCATCATCATCATCATCAGCAGCAGCAGCAGCAGCAGCCGCATCAGCAGCATCATCATCATCGCCGTCACCATCACCACCATCACCACCATCATCATCAGCAGCAGCATCATCCTCATATTCATCATCAGCATCATCATAATCATCATCAGTGATATCAGTATCGTCATCACCACCATCATCATCATCATCATCTGAATCATCGGTATTAACACAATCGCCAACAACATCGTATGCATGTTCATCTTCATGGTAATATTTCTCCCCACCATCATCCTCACCATCAGCAGCAGCAGCATCGGCATCGCCCCCAGCAGCAACAGCAATACCATCGTCATGATCATAAGCATCATCATAACAATCATCAGCATCATAGATATACTCATCGGCGACATAGTCATCATCACCACCATCATCAGCAGCAGCGTCCTCTATATCATCGATCATCATTACGAATACCACCATCATTACCATCAGCACCATGATCACCACCATCATCCGCATTATGATCCCCATCCTGGCCAGCATCCTCAACATCACCATTACCATTATCACAATCTTCTTCACACCCTCACTATCAGCACCATCGTCACCATCATCATCACCGCCATCGCCATCAGCATCAGCATGGGCATCATCATCAGCATCAGCATCATCAGTCTCATCCTCGTAATCACCATCGCCAGTATCAGCATCATACCCATCATCATCAGCATCACCATCACAATCATCAGCATCCTATTGTCCTCATCGACAGCATCATCAGCCTCATGGCCATGTTCATCATCAGCAGCAGCATCATCGCCACCACCACCACCATCAACAGATTCATCATCATCATCCGCCGCACCATCACCATCACCATCATTAGCATCAGCAGCATCATCATCAGCATCATTTTCATACTCATCATCCACTTCCACATCAGCACCATCATCACAAGCAGAATCAAGACCACTACCACCATCATCATGAGGATCACCATCATCGTCACCATCGTCCCCCGAACCATCCTCATCATTATCACGACAATTGTCAGCACAATCCGACTCCGACGTGCCATCATCATCAGCAGCAACAAGACCATCACCATTGTCAGCATCAACATCACGCTCATCAGAAACATCCAGAGCTGCATCATGCATCATCATTATCAGTAGCTTCGTCCTCCTCATCATCCGCATCATCAGCACCACCATCATAATCATCCGACTCCGACCCGTCGTCATGACCATCGTCGACTTCTCATCGTCATTGACATCATCACGATCGGCACCAAAGCATCAGCAGCAGCATCACGCATCACCATCACCATCACCAACATCAGCATCATCAGCATCGTCGCCCTCATCATCCTCGTCATCATCATGGATGTTGTGCCAGGTCTCCGTCAAGAACGGAGCTTTCGCAGCCCAATTAAACGGCAAAGCGTGTAGTTGTTTTTTTTCGTGGCGATTCTCCAGAAAGGACTGCCCTATCCTATAGGAGTCCTAGCTCATCATAAGTAAGTCAGATTTGGGACACCCCTGTTTTCCAATGGTGCATCCCTTTATTTCCAATGGCACCCCCCTTATTCCAATGGCATCCCCCCCCATTTCAAAGGCTTGCTTGCTGGCGCGCTTGTTTGCTTGCTTGCTTGCGCTCTTGTTTGCTTGCTTGCTTGCTTGCTTGCTTGCTTGCTTGCTTGCTGGCTCGATCGCTCGCTCGCTCGCCGGTTTGCTTGCTTGTGTTAGCGTTTGCCTGCTGGTTTGCTAGCTGGATTGCTTGCTTGCTTGCTTGCGCGCCTGCTTGCACGCTTGTTTGCTTGCTGCGCTGCGGATTTTAAGCATGCTTGATTCCTCTGGTGCCTTGATTTGAGTCGTCAAGTTGATTTAGAGTCAACGCTGTCTGAGATCTTCTTCTTGTACTAATTTCAAATTCAGATCCAAGCGATCTACACATGGATGTGCGGTAATGGCGCAAAGGCCTTTGAACGCCATGTTGACGTTTTCCGTGCGGA